AGAGTCAAGCAGCCCGACATCTGGGCAGAGTCCCCTCGGCTGGCAATACCTAGCTGTCTGTACATGTATGCCAGCGTAGCCGATCCCCATGAGTAACCCCCAATCAAATCCAAGCCGTCGAGCACCTCGTGCAGGAGCTTGGGGGTCACTCTACTACCACTCTTGTCGACAAACAATGTGGTAGCCAGCATCACCCATATCCAGGCACCCGCCTCATCCCTAGTCGGCCGGCCTTTCCCCCTGAATGCCCCCGAAATGGCGGCTTCGGACACCGAACCACGCTGCCAGAACGAACTCATGAGTTCGCCCTTGGTGACCAAAAGTATCGACATGCAGAGCCCATGGCAGGCGTCCGAGTCCGGGTCCTCAGCGACCACGGCTCCCTCCACAAGAACGCCCAAAATGGCCCGGACGTCGTGCAGCATGATGCTCATTCACCAAAAGACAGGTGAAACGAGTTAGTATCTGGCTGTCATCGCTCCACAAACGCAGAAAGGAGTGGGGTATCCAAGTGGATGTGCATGGAGTCGGCCAAATGTGACAACCCGGTCTGGTCGAGAAGAGCTCTCGCATCGGAAGACATCTCTTCACGCCAAGCCTTCAGATTCTCGATCGCTCTTAGTCTGTTGTGGCATTTCAGCCGCCCCCTCAAATCTCCACTCCACATGCGGGAGGCGACGTGCCCTAGAAAACTAGGAATGACACTCCCATCAATGGGCCCACCAGCCACTGGGCCTTTAATGATCCAGGGTGCATCATCATCGGTCCTAGCTCGTTTGCTAGTACCTGCATTAAAATACAACATATTTGTATGTATTGACTTGCTGGCAGATGCATTAAATAAAATATATTTAATAAAACATATTTCATAAGTTTCCCGTTCTTTTTTTTTTTCAATTAATCTACAAACGTTACATTTTACATTAATAAAATATAATGAAAATTTTAAACTAATTTATTATGTAACATTACTACTAATTGATTATAACAATAATAAAAATAATTATAATAATTTTCTAACTAATTAATTGTATGGTTCCTCTACATTACAAAATAATTATACCGTAGTTGAGGAGCAGACCGATAATACTTTTCTAACAGTACCGATAATTTGTTATGATTAAGTGAAAATAATTTATGTTAAACAACAATAAATACGTAAATTATTTACCTAATGAGGATGCAGATGGGCCAAAACACCCCCCAGCCTGTCGTTGAGGAGCAGCCTGTGTAGGACGAACAGCCTGTACCGGACGAACCTACTGTAGAACCGGCTGTACTGGACGAACAGGCTGTACAGGAGGACGAGGGTGGCTAGGACCCGTAGGCTGTGCGTGATCCTGATCATCTAAGGAGTCGTCCGAGTCACACTCCTCTGAACCCTGCTCCCTTTTGCCGTACGACTCATCAGCATACCCCTGCTGACCATAGGGTAATGGTACGCGTGCGCGAGGAGGTATCGACTTCCCTGCGTAGCGGTGAAAAGCATATCGCGACTGATCGTACGGTCCTGGTGCCGGGGGCATCGAACTGCCTGCCTGGCCAGGATAATAAAATCCATGCTCACCGTACGGGAGGACTCCGTGGAGTCGCGAACTATCTGGCTGGCCCTCAAAATGATATCCCTGCGGACCATCTCGCACTGGTGCGGGGGGTCTCGAACTCTGCCTAGCCTGACGAATCTGTACCCTCCGAGCCTCATCGATCATCGCCTGCCTTTCCTTGTCCCTCTCCCGACGAACAGACGCATTGACACCCGGACTTCTAGTGTGTCGGGTGCCAGAACCATCATAATAGTCATCGAACGCCTCGTCGTCGTCCCTGACATTAGATTGTCCAGGTCTGCCAACACCCTGAATCAAAAATATAATTATTAAATTTTTCCATATGTAATGACTATTCTAATAACTATTACAATAGATTATATATAATTCATTTTTATTTTAATATATAATTTTATTCATTATTATTATAATTACAATTGTTGAGATTTATAATAGTTATTATAATTTTTTATTTAAATTATTATAATTAATACTAATTTATAATTATTATTATATTTAATTATAATTATCATTACAAATTATTATTATTATTTCTTATAATATTATTATTATAAGCATTTATAATTTATAATTATTAATATTATTAATATTATTTTTAGA